AGGCTGCTGGGCATTACCAACATTTTTTCACTCAATAGTGGAGATAATCCAGCCATGTTTTGAAACGTGGTTTGGGGGATTTAATACATGCAGATTACCACCGGGGACAAAAGTGCTCCGTCACTGCAGTGATGAGCCACACAGTACCCATGCACGCTTAGCTGGTCCCTATTGAAAAGAGGTCAGCAGTGCACTGTGCCAGGTTCATGAACAAAAGAAAGTTATATAACACTGCACAATTTGGGCTCTTTTTACGAGGCAGCAGGCCTGGCTAAAATACTCAAGCATCAATAGATGTTGTCTGTCAGATTAGAGTAGAAACCAGACAAATTATCCTGTCCCAGCATCATCAACATTCATAATGCGTCCGGCATGAAGTGGTTATTATTGGAAAAGGATGAATATTGTGGCTATACCACTATGCATCATGGGACAAGAGGGCATTCTACGTAAGGCTTATCAGAAGTTTTAGTGAATTGAATCAGATGCAAAGGAATTTGTATATGTAGCAACTGTTTGGGGTGGGTATTCAATGGCAGACCTCCTTATGAAGCACGATACGGGACAGAGAGCACCCTACCCCCCTTTTGTGTTGGTCATTGTTTGATCAGAATCTCAGGAATTCTGTACAGACTTCTTGGGGAATGTGTTAGGTAACAATAGTGTAGAGTGTGTATAGGGATTGGACAGGTAAGGGGGGGTTCCCCTCCGTCCCATATCTTGTTGGGTATATACAGACCTCATCCACATTTCTGTGGGGGAAAACAATTCACACCACCATGCACAATGCTAACTAGTCAGGTGGGAAAACGGTTAACAATGTCTGTATACCATGTGGTAAGCATGTGTGATACACCTAGAAGGGCAGGTAATAAACCTGCTGCAACAGGAAATTTTGTGGAAACATGCTTCAACTTGTACATCCAATACAACCTCAAATTAAATTCAGGAACACACAAAATATATACACGTGCATGTACTTAGAAAAGAGGGCAAGTTTTGTGCATTGAATTATCTTGCATAAATCTTGCAAACAAACATTATTGTTTCAACGTGCAGCTGTAGAGTTGTGTTTGGTGTCGTGTAACAAGTCATCTGGTTTACATGAGTCTCGTTATCAGCGTCACCTCCATTTGACATGTTTCCATATGTCCACATTGCAGTTTGTGTCTTGATCGCATTGCTCTCTGTTAATAGTTCGCGGTACCCGCTGCTTCACTTGACTCAGACAGGCCAGTCGACCCCGGCAAGTTTTGTGATCTAGTGGTTAAGACATCTGCACTAGTAAGCAGGATGTCGTGGGTTCGAGTCCCACCCAAGCTTGTGAGGTTTTTTACAACCTCTCAGACAAGCACTGAGCATACGGTGCTTATTAATATACATTGGGTAAGGGCAAAACCCGTTATATAAATTAACATTTCCCAATGTAAAAATACATCTTGAAAATTGCTCTCTGTGTTTCTTACATTGATATGGAAACCAGGCCTAACACGTACAGAATGCTTACCATGCCCTTCATGTGTACAAGGAGCCTTTCAGCTAGTTTCTTTTCCGCTTCTGCAGCTTTTACTCTAGGAAATTGTGGTGTTGATATGAGCCGAGCTCACACTCTATGACCATGGCAGCTCGTGGACTGACACTGGCAGAGCGTTTGTTGCACTTTTTTGTAGCTTTTTCGTAGTTGACTTTTGTCAGCGATTTCCAATATGCAATTTTTTAAGGCCAAAACAGGGTCTGCATCCGGTTTTCCAACTGACCCTAATTTTTTGGTGCGACCCTAAAATGTTTATCGGCAAGTGAGTAAAAACAAATTTCAAAAAAATTTGTAAATAAAAAATCCTGTTGTCTTTTCTGTCTTTGTTACACTACACTGTACATGCACACAACTCTGCAGCTACATGTCATAAAATCAATGTTGCAAGAAGATTTTGGCTTGCAAGTTAATTCACAGAACTTGATCTCTTGTCTACATATATGTATTTTCTGTTCATGAATTTAATATGAGGTTGTATTTCTTGTACTTGAAGTTAGCATTTTTCTGCACAATTTCCTACCGCAGCACAAGTATAGCTTCTGCCCCTCCAGATGTATCATGCATGCTTACCATGCAATGTACAGTGTTTGCCAGTTTCCTTGTACTCGGGCCAGGTACTCGGAGTACTCTGTACTCGGATTTGAGGACTCGACTCCAACACTGTCAAAAGGATATTGCAAAAAAATACTACTAAAATGACTTTTGAAACCACTTACAAGGTAAAGCTACGTGAAAATATGTCAGTACAAAAGCAAAGACTTACCCCAAAACTTACCCATAAAGCACATAATCGCATAAAAACTGGTTAAAAACAGGCCGCAACTTCAAGCTTAAGAATGTTACTAAAATAATAATACTCGGGCTATGACAATCTACACTTGGTGTGTTTGCGCGCAGTTTTCAGCCCTGAAATAGGAGCAGTTAAAAGCCAGTGTTATACGTTAGCCAGTATCATCAGGTCACAAGTCAAGTGACGTCAAAGGTACACCCTTCAAAGCAATTATATTCTGAAGTACACGAAAACCCCAAAACAGCATAGATTGCGACCGCAAACCTCTAGTTTATATTTTTATTTGTTTTTCAAAGTTGTGCCAAAAAGTTAGGGTCGGTTGGGAAACCAGAAGCAGCACTATTTTGGGGGGCCTAAATGGCTAACATATTTTTATTTGTCTTGTTCAAGTTTCTGCAGAACTTACGTTTCGGCCACTGTCTTTTAAGTATAAAGTAGAGAATCATATTTGAGTTGAAAAACCAGGGATCCACTGTCTCAAATTTAACCAAATATATTATATTCTCCAAATATATGAATGCACTAACTTGTTACATGTTCACAAATGCACATCCTAGAAAATAATAGAAATAACTCTAAATTATCGGGCAACAGTCAAAAACCTCTGTTCACATTAAGTCAAGTCATAAAATATACTGCATTTGTTTTAGTCTTTTAGTGGATCAAACATGTTTATTTGCTTTGGAAATGCTAGCAAATTGATCAACTAAAAGAGAACAATGAACGAAGAAGGTCTTACTTACCAAACTTGAGCTCCTGGTACACATTTGAAGAACTAACATTAATTGGAACATGTAGTTATTTGTATTGCTTTAACAAAGGTAAATGATGATGGGGCTATTCTTTTCCCATCTCTGAAAATCATAGAAACAAAATTTAATTCAAAACCATCACACACTGACACTTGGCCCAGGTTGGACGACGTCTGCATTACATTGCGACTAACGTCCAGGGAATAACATTCCTCCTACGATGCAAAAATTTTTCAGCAGTTTGCTCTCGCAAGTGTCGTTCACAAGTGCTTTGTATCCCGAATTCCATAAATGCTATGATGAAATTACACCTGGCCCACGGACAACATGGTTTGCCGCAAAATTTAAGAAAAACGACACTGTCCGTCACAATTTTTTAACGAAGTACATGTACGTTATCTAGCATGTCTATCTAGCACACATACGTACTCACACATGCACGAAATGCATGGTAACCGAGTGCCCCTTGCGCATACGCAGAACAGCCGTGAAGAAGTCGCAGAAGGCCTTGTCCGAACAGGGGTTCCAAAGATATGGCTAGGTCTATTTTGTGGGCATCTCCACGTATTTCTAATGGAACAAGGACCGAGACCTAGCTAGTTCTAGACAACATGCATAACTGACAGATGTGGGCCGAGCTTGGAGGCCATTTCGTGCATGCGCAAATGCATACTACTGCACAAACGTAGATCGTTCATGAATCACGACGGAAAGCGTAGAGTTCTGCAAAATATGTTGTCTGCGGTGTATTTAGTAATTTTATCACAGCATTTATGGAATTTGGGATACATGTACATAGCACTTGTGAATGACATTTGAGCTGTCTTCGTCAGGTAAAAATGTGAGAAAAAAATGTTGAAAAAATTTCGCATAGTAGGAGGACTTTTATACCCTGGACGTCAGTCGCAATGCAATGCAGACGTCTTCCAACCTGGGCTAACTGACACTATATAGCATATCAGTAAGGAGTCATCTTAAAATTTGTCTGGGACAAGTTGTTTAAATGCATCCCTGATCTTCTACAATGAAACAGTGCAAGTCCACTGTGATTGGTGATACGGGCCAGGCTGGGCATTCAAGGACACACTGTGTACCCACTCTACTGGAAGTACATGTACCGGTATAATAGCTCCATGATAACCAACACCTTCAAAGTACATGTACTGTCCAGTATTCCAGACACAAGGTCTAAACATCTTTGCTTAAATCTGTGCTTCAAATGTCATTTTCGTCTACCTTTAGTAGTTTTCTTAATCCTTAGGAATGCACTTTGTGTTCAATCCAAGCACTCCAATACCATTCTTCTGGAAACCACAAGCCATTTTGTGGGGCTACCTCATTTTGTGCCCTCAGGCAAAATGTACACAGTTGTTTGTAGTTGACTAATTGCTAATGAAAATTTGTCCAGAACTCACTCCCCCCCAAAAAAAAATTGCAGGGTTTCTTGCAGGTGAAGTGACACCACCCCAAATTTGTCAGCAATAACTTGAGATGGTTTCTTAGCTCTATCTCTGTAATTTAACCAAGGTATAGATTTTTTTCAACCAGCTGATCCTCAAGGTTTAAAAAGATACGAGAACCATGGATATAAAAGGGATGCCCTAACTTGCTTAATATTCAAAAGCACCAGTCTATAGACCTTTATCATGATGCTGCCATCATTGTCTTGTTCACAGTAGCCTTTTGGGCAATAGCAACACAATTTCAGATAATAGGGAACAGACTATTTTTCCTTCTACATTTCTTTGAATGGTAAAAAAGCAAGATGGCTGGCCCATGATAGAAGTCTTTTGCGTATTTCTAATTACCTTGGTGTTTGTTTTGTTAAAGCTGTGACAGACAATGACATCTTATCAAAGCATGTAATCTGAGTGTAACTGCTAGTGAATATGAGCCTCATGAAGTGTACATACTCTCCCCTCAGTGGTCTAACTGTTGACAGTGTAATGGCCTTTGCTAAGCGTGCTTTGGAACATACAGCTGGAGAGGTACGGGAAGCAGCTGTTCATTTGATTATAGAGCTGTATCATCTGAAAGCAGCAGCGGTACGCTCCCATCTTCCCCCTGAAGATGACCCCAAGACAATGAAGAATCCACTCTATTGCAAGATATTTGATGGAATGGATAGAGCAGATGGCAAACCAACTAAAGCAGAAAGAAAGGTACCAGAACTCTCATCATTTACCATTACTGCATGAACAAAAATCTGGCACGAAGAAATAGCTTCTGTACAAGTGTTTTCTTTGTATGAGAATATAGTTTCAGTGCAGTTTTTGTAACAGTCATCATTTGTTTTGTCTTCATTGGTACATGTTTTATGTCGTATTTCAGGAAATACACCGTATTATACGCAAGCCTCATTTTATAAAGGGTTTTAAATGAGATTTATTATTTGCAGTTGAACCAATTAGTGGTCCTTTTCATAGAAAACGGTACCAAAGTTAATACATGTACGTCGTGCACAATTACATGTGTTAAAGGCATTAATGCGAGGACTATAAAGCATGAACCCACACGTGCATGTACTCCATTCATTTACTCTGCACTTTCTAGTTTACAATAATGTCATACTTCGATACTCTAAACAGGCAACTAAATCATGGGTGTTCCCTTGACAATGTCAGAGTAACGGACTGATTCCGCCCGCTAAGTCCTATAGTGGGCATCAGACATCAATAAACATGGCGTCCTCCCAGAGCAAAGTGTGTTTTAAGTGTTGTTTACCAAAAAGAAAGCCAATTTTCGGCATAGTACTCAGCATATGAGTAGTCTGAGGACTGTACCGACTGACTGTCAGCTCTATGGTAAATGACACACGTTGCTGTAGGAGGATGCCGTGTTTGTTAATGTTTAATATCAACTATAGGTCATGTGACTTACTGAGTGGAAGTAGTCTGTTGTCATGCTTCACACAAGAAGTTCTTACCCATATGTAACCCTTGTCATCTTGAAGTTTACTTTGTCTCATGCAAGCCCATTTGCTTATGAGCCAGAACAAAGTTTCTCAGACTCAGCTGAACAAGAGCTAAAATAGAAGTGTAAAATGAGCAGGGTGTAATAGATTTGGGGCTGTGAAAAAAATGCGTTTTGCATTATTCTAGAATATCAGGTATTTTTATAATAGAAGTTGGACTTAGTGTAAAAAGAGTGATTTTTGTGTAATATTTAAGCCTCATTGTGGGTCATTCCTGTCTAATCAAACACTTTTGGTTGCCAATTTATTTATTTTGGTTTATTTATTTACCATACTATCACATTTTACCGCATAGCAGGTAAAATTTATTATACTCAACGGAAAGGTCAGTGGGGAGTGACCCGAAGGGTGAACCTGCAGGATCAGCGCAGAGTAGCTGTGCACTGTTCGTGGTGCGTGTGGCACTATCATGCGGTTGAGGTATACATATGGGAAGCATCATTGGTGTGTCGCGCGCCAAATCTTAGGCCTTACAGGCATTGCTGACGTGGTAGGAGTAATCAAACTTGTAAAAAACATTAGTCGAGGCCGAGGGAGGATCCTTCGGCTGACAATCAAAGCAAGTCTCTGGTCATGGCGGGAAATAGCAACCACGCCATGCAGACAGCTCAGGTTGCCTCATTTTTTGTCGCAGCTCCAATCAAGAAACATCAACGTTGAACTGTTGCATTATTTTCCCGCCTCCTCCCCAGTCATTCCTCCTCGATGCCTTGTTTTGTGTACGAGATTATGAGGCACGATAATTAAGCAAGTTTACGGAATTTAGAACCCCAGAAGAGGTTGAGCTCCATTACTCCATACTTTGTGTTGCTCAATCGTCTTGTTCCTTGTAATGTGCCACACGGGCAGATTCAGGTTTATTGAATATAGTCCATATATTTTGCCGTAGATTCATGGCCAATGATGTACCACACGGGCTATTCCCCTCTACAGGTGCCAGTGGAGGGAACTAGAGTTTACCACATTTGCCATGTGATTTTGTAAAGCTTCATTATTTTAGACAGGTGCCTAACAGGTTGCATGTGCTGTGCACCTTAATATTTCTATTACATTTTTGTTTGCTCTAATATAATTACACAACGGCCATTGGTGTGTTGGTGAATAGTGGTCATTGGGTATCACTATATCTGAGTTGTGGTCTTGGGTGTCACAACCACTGTTGATATAGGTTGGTGGTCATGGGTACCGCCGATATATAGTGATCTTTGTTGAGATTGCTTGACTTCTTAATCCGCTTTGCCCTAAATCCGTGGTATTGGTATTCCAGATGAACAGTCAAACGTTGATTAAAATTGAAGCTGTGGCGAGAGACACATACATGCACACCCAAGTGTGTATTTGCCTGCAACTGGGGACC